TATATGACCTTAATCTCTCCTTTGTATTAACTTATTCATATTTCAGTCTTGATGAGTTACACTGCTATGGAGTCTGGATTGGAGTCACTATTATATTAAACATTTTAATCTAGACCTATGTCCAGTCTGTTTAGCTTTTAAATTCACGTTTTTTTATTCTTACCTGATTTTGGAAGTAACTTAGACCTTCTAGTGTTTTTTGTAATGACAAAAAGCCATGATTATAAAGCATCTTAAATGTTTGTTAGTATAATGAAATACCATAAAAGAGCTAAGTGAACAAGAGAGAGAGAAAGGATTTTTTATTTTTTTTGTGAATCTGTAAATCTCTGCTAATATTAATGCCATATCTCTTATAATCACATCACTCGGATGGATAAACTTCTGTCAACAATAGGGGAGTCATTAGACCCTTTTATGAAATACTGATGTGACCCAGTAAAATAATACTGATAAATCCTTATGTGTCGAATGCACAACTAACTGACCGACGAATTGACAAATTTAGGGTTATGGGTCGCTATGGGAAACGCCTTCAGCGTGACAGGTGTCTGAAGCATACATCTAAACACGACAATAACATTGGCCGGCGTCAGCCTAAGAAGTCATTACTGGCACGACCACAGTATAAAAGGGCACAGGGAAAATGAGTCATTCGCTTCTTCGTCTGAAGCTTGCATCCATGGCGAGGCTTCTAGAGAATGCAGTGTCTCGTTCCCTTCTCAGGGAACCATGGTTACATACGTAACCTGAGACATTCCCTTCCGAGGGAACTTCAAACTGCGTCCTCTATCGGTCGCTATGGGGAAAGGTATACCCATGCTGCCATGCTGAGAAGAGTGCATGCCAAGCACCAAGGCAAGCACTAAATACCAACTCCACCAAAGCGAAGGGAGTTGTCCCTAGGACGCCTTGACGGCTGTTAGTGACATTATCACCTTCAGCCAAAGGCCTGAGCTGCATACCCCAATAACTTACCTGTTAAGCGCTGGGCTTGGAATGCCTGAACCCAGGGCAGAGCTTGAAGGCTTGGAATCAGAAACAAAGAGATACCTTCAAGGGGATACGGCCAAGCGTCTAGAGCAGGGGTGGCGAACTCCGGTCCTGGAGAGCCGCAGCCCTGCAGAGTTCAGCTCCAACCCTAATAAAAACTCACCTGCCTGTAGCTTCCTAGTAACCGTTCAGACCTTGATTAGCTTGTTCAGGTGTGTTTGATTAGGGTTGAAGCAAAACTCTGCAGGGCTGCGGTAGGGTTGTGACGGTGAGGAAATTTTCCCACCGGTTAATTGATGTGTGACAACACCGGTATCACCGTGGGGGCGGGGGCATTCCCTCTTTTCCTCGCTTTAATTCGCTTTTAAATAGCTTAAAAGCTGCGTGCGCATTTTACTTTCACTTTCAAATAGTGGCATTTCAACTTAAAGAAGTTGTTCGTTTTTAGTTCGTTTGAATTTCCCCTCTTTTCCTCGCTTTCCTTCGGTAAATAAGAAATGTAGAATGTTTATTATCAAAACGAGTAAGAAAGCTTGGAGGCACGGCATACACCTTGATGTAAAAAAAATAAATAAAATAAATGACACAAAGTTTAAATAAAGTAAAAATCAGCAAACAATGTGGAACCAATTAAATAAGAAACGAATGTTTAAAAAAAACTTCCAAAAATCACCTTAGATAAACGGCAAAAGTCAACAGGCTTTTCAAAATCCAAAATATTGCCAAACAGGCGCTTTTGCATCTCGTTTCGAAACTAAATCATCTGCCATCGTTTTGTTTATCTCACCTCGCCTCACTCTTCTTGTCAGTCAGCTCGACTCGCTCTCCTCGCTGGAGAAATTAAATCTGATCTGTGATGCGACTGTCATTCGGCACGCTGCATTGAGCAGCCGCGTTCAGTTTTTAATTGTAGTGTCTGTTCTTTTACTGAACTAAATGATTTTTATTACTATCAAAAATCAAAACAACGGTGGGGGTCAGTGCCGCGGTGGGCAAGTGACATAACCGGTGTTGCGGTTTAACACCGGTATCACCGTCAGCACCATCTATCGCAGCAAGCCTAGGCTGCGGCTCTCCAGGACCGACATTCGCTACTCCTGGTCTAGAGTGATAAACTAGACCCTGGTCTGTCACCCAGGGTGCTACCGCCAGCTCTGCATGAGTTTGCTCAAAGGAACTGACCTGACTGTCCTTGGTAGCAAACACCCTGCCCAGGAAAGGTATCATTAAGGGTTGAGAAGTAGAGTGGGGCCCAAGGTGAAAACCGGAGGCCTGAGCCAACTCAGAGAAAGGGTATGAGGATGGCAGCGCGTAACCCATACCATACAGGATTTTAGAAATGTGCACAGGATGCTTAGCATGCACACTCACTACAATGTGGATTTTAGAAAGTGCACAGTAGCTCAGCGTGTGCACTTACCATAACATGGATTTCTAGAATCACCATTGCTAAGGAATCATTGAGGCTGTTTCTAGACAGGCCTAAGAAGCCTATGTGACTGTGGCAAGCTCAAGGGAGCAGTTACTTAATTCAGCGGGAGTCTTGTGTGCTCAGAGCGCATGCGGATTGGAAATGGCATACCTCATAGAAAAACCCTCCATATAAGGGGAGCATCGCCAACTCAACCATAATAGTCACAGGACAGGCTCCAGAGCATTAGGCTCATACATAACTTGAAGTAGCGTAGCACCCAACTCTCAAACTGCGAGAGGGATACAAACGCTCGACTTAGGAGCAGTGTGCTCATAGATAACCCTCTAGAGTGAGGGGAGCACTACAAACTTAACAAACCATAAGATAAGCATATAAGGGAGGCAGAAAAAGGGGCCTAACAACCTGGTGTTGCTGCCTCACGGAGCTCTGGGGACCAGAGAACTCAACTCTCAGGATGAGAGGGAAACTCCAAATGCTCAGGAGGGAGCAGTGTGCTCATAGGCGACCCTCTGGAGTGAGGAGAGCACTGCCGAGCTCACCATGAGAGCAGCCTAAGGGGGAGGGCAGAGAAAGGCCTGACCCCCTGACGTGGTTGTGCGGCAGATTGACTGCAAATGGGACATCAGAAATGGAATCCAGCTTAGAAGGGGATCACACATTCCAACAGGGAGTAACAGGGTCCCACCATAGAAGCAACTATTGGCAGAGACCAAGAAGGCGACAGGGATGGGCCTAACGACTCGGTGTGGTTGCATATGGAGCTCTCGGGAGAGGCGCTCTTGGCTCTCAGGCTGAGGTGGACACTCATAGCTCAAGCTGGGAGCAATAGGCTCAAAGCTAGCCCTCGCAGTAAGGGGAGCACTTCCAAACTCAACCACAAGGCAGTGCTAGACTAGACGGGGTAGTCTAGCAGGGCCCGATGAGAGACCGTCCACTGTTACAGCCAAACTTAGTCCTATGCTCTCTGTCTCGATGGAGAGCATGGGTCCTGTTTACCCAGACTCGAAAGAACCTGAAGAAACAACGGGACCCAATAACCCATTCATGCATAAAGAGCTACCGCTCCTCATAGCCGAAGCACTCAGGAAGGGTCTCCGCAGAAACGCATCTCACTCATACCTCAGGGAAAGCAGTGTACTCAAGCCCACTCCACAGAGAGGCGATTCACTGGTTCGACCATAAGGGCAGTGTAAAAGGGAGGTCCAAGTGGGCCTGACCACTTATCGAAACTGCAGAGTGGAGTTAAGGAGTGAAGCCACTCGACGCCTCAGCGAGAGGAGCTCTAACTCAGAGAATGTGCATGAAGGTTGAGTGGATGACTCAAATTTCAGAAGGCCCCTCGGGCCGGTAGCTGAGGCGCTACCTCCGAGTCTAAGGAAGTGGACAGACAACTTTCAAAAAAGGTCAAACATTACTGCCGGTCATCAACGGCAGCTGTCACAGTTGCTGAGCGACGTGAGCAATCCCCCGTACATAAAAAAGGCCACATTCACACAGCAACAGAATACGGTTTTCAGTCCTGTATTTGAGTCCTTAATACGGTTACGTTCACAAACAGTTCGGTTATTTACGGGTTTGACAACCACATTTTATAACCAAAATCAAATCTGTAAGGCTACATTCACACTGTCAGTTTTTGGGACTGACAACTGCATTTACTTACAGGTGTGAGTCTCGAAATGTCCTGTTCACACAGCAGCTTACATCATTTGGAATGCTGTCTGTATGAACGTGCAATGGGAGTCAAGCCCTAATTTCCTTACCAGTAACCATAAGTGACAAAAGTAAAATCAAAGATCGCGACGTCAATAATACTGAAAGTTTTATCACTTCTGAGTTCTGACATGACAAGAGTCCAATCGAGTTGCGAGTTCTTCCTTCAAATCTTCATTAACCGACAGCTTTTATTTGGGTAGACAGCGGAGCATTGAGTCGTGCGCAGAACACAAAACTGACGGGAGCGGCTCCGGTGGAAAACTGATTGGATCTAAAACTTTCAGATGACATGCAGCTCATTTCTCTGACACTGTAAGTTACCGAAACCACAAATTAAAACACGCAGCACATGTTAGACGCGTGTTTATGCGGCAGAGCGGCTTTCTCTCAGTGTATGACGTGACAGACAACAAGTTGTCCAGTCCTGTTCCATTCACACAGCGCTTGTGTTCCGAGAATGCAGTTGTGAGTCCTGAAAATTTACAAGTGTGAGTTCGGTTACAGAATGTGGTTGTCACACCCGTAAATAACCGTATGTGAACGTAGCCGTATTAAGGACTCAAATACAGGACTGACAACCATATTCTGCTGCTGTGTGAACGTGGCCTAAATTTTCAGGACTCACAACCACATTCTCTGAAAACCTGCGCTGTGTGAATGGAACAGGACTGGATAACTAGTTGTCTGTCACGTCACACAGTGCGACAAAGAGCCACCCTGCGACACAAACGTGCGTCTACCGTGTCTGTGTGTTTTCATGTGTGGTTTTGGTAACTTACAGAAATAGAGAAAACTCCATTCGGTTTTGTGTTCTGTGTGCGACTCAAATACTCTGCTCTCTACCCAAATATAAAAGATGCTGTTGGTTAATGAAGATTTGACAGAAGAACTCGCGGCTCGATTGGACTCTCACCGTGTCAGAAAGTAATAAGATTTTCAGTTTTATGGACGTCGCCATCTTTGATATTACTTGGTCACTGTTGCTATGGTTATTGTTAAGGAATATGGACTTGACACCCGTTGCACATTCATACAGACAGCATTCGAGACGCTGTGCGTGAACAGGACATTTCAAGACTCGTGCCTTGAAAAGAAAATGCAAAACTGACAGTGTGAACTTAGCCAAACATAAAATACTTAAAAACAGAGAAATATTTGAAATATTTCAAGATTCTAATTTTGGATTTATGGGCATATTTATCTTTATACCTTATATTTGTTTATTAGCATGGCATTTATTTACACACTTATTACACACTTGTTTATCTACATATTGTTGTGTTGAGAAGTATACAATACTTGATGTTTAGTTACTATACTATACTATACTTTAGTAATTGCTTACTATTAATACATGGAATTGGATACATGGAACTGCACCAGTGGGGGCTCTAGTGGGAAATGGTGTTGAGTAATGCGAAGAACAAGAATAAAGTGTATGGAGTGAGTTCTGTAAAAGAGTTAAAAACACCACACGTATGAAACGTCATTACAATTTTTTATAGTTAAATGTTATAATAAAATTAATAAATTAATATTATTAATTTTGAATATTGCATAGGCCTACCTATTAATTTTCCTCTATAAAAACCTCTGGGATTATCCTCTTGGCAGAGAACCACATGATCATGATGAGGAAGGTTTTGGCATCGCTCTCTGTTAGTAAAGTCATTACACATTTTGTAACCTGATGCAAAAAAAAAAAAAACTTTCTTTAGTGGTCATGTTGAGTTTGATGTCAACATACCGAAGACTGGGAAACCAAGAAAAGCGTGTTTTCTTTCTTGTAGTTAGTACGCAAAGCGTAAAGGGAACTAAATATTTGCTGAAGGGGCGTCAGTTCCCCTCCGAGTTCCTTCCAAAACCGAAACCGTGACTGAAAGAAGCCTATAGATTATTCGCTTTCACAATGAAAGTGCATTTGTTAATAGTTTTATTGCTGGTGTCTAATATAGCACTATCTTCAGGTGTTCTGGAAGTGTTCGCGGCTGCTGTATCTGTGGTTTACAAATTTTTTCAACGGGACGATTTGCTGCCTTTTGACTTTAAACGTGAGTAAAACGGCGAAATAACATATCGTATGTTTTGACGATAGATTTATGAGTTTATGGCTCATCATATGTCAAAATTTTCCTTAGTTTCCAAAAGCGTGTTTTCGCTTATCGTATAACTTTCCATATAACTTTTTTTTTTTCATAAAAAGGATAACGTTTTTATCCTTCATACTACATACGACAGCGTTAAACTTATTTCCCCCCAAACTATGGTTATGAACTTGATAGTATATCTTCTTTCAAAGTAAAGTGTTTACCCAATAAAAACTGCATTAATGAAAGAAAGAGGGACAGAAATTAAACGAGACTCCAGTGTTGTTTCTTCGTGATAATTCCCTTTCTGAATTACAGCAATTTAGTTAGGCCTAACGTTATAATAAAATTACCCTTGTATATATGGAAGCATATAGGTAGCGAAATTCAATGGCAATGCAATATTCAAAATGGCAATGTATTTCTGTATTTCTATTTCAAATGTAAAGTCCCCATGAAATCAAAATTAAAGTTTTTTTTGGGTGTTAGTATCAATATGTTAGTCTTACGGTTATCTATAAGGCAGTGTGCTCCAAAACTGTGACAAAATTCGCATTTAGAAGATATAAGCATTCAAAGTGTGCAGTTCCTCACTTCCGCCAAAACTGCTCAACGATTTTCTTTTTTGACGTCACATCTTACTTCAGCTGCTCATCAAACTTTCTGTCCAATCAAATGCTCTCTAGAATCCGAAGCGCCCGCCCCCTACACTATAAAATAGACGCTGAAGCCGCGGCTGAAATCGGTCACTTGTCCACAGAATTAGTATTTTCTGTACAGTGAATAGCACGTAGTGCACTATATAGGGGACAGGGAACGATTCAAACCGTGTAAATATACTTTCCATTGAGGAAAAGAAGAAGTCTGGTTTCGCGCTGTGTCCCGCTAAACACACTCTGCTCCGGTCCAGAGACACGATAGCACGGAGCGGATCACATATTGAATTTCACTATATGCTTCCATATGTTTAGGCCTATGCTATATCAACACTATTTTAGAGTTTTTTTTCGCGATATAATTTGTCACGTGTCAGAAAACCTCAGAAAGTGTTATTTTGTTGACTTCACATATCTTCACATATCTTGCAGGTTTGGAGAAAGATTTAAGAGACTCTCTCTTTGGGCAGCACATTGTGTCTGATGTTGTACTGAAAGCTGTAACATCATTTATGAATGACAGCAACCCAAACAAACCGCTGGTCCTCTCTTTCCATGGGACTACAGGAGTTGGGAAAAATCATGTTGCTAAAATCATTGCAAGAAATGTGTACAAAAAAGGGATCCAGAGCAAGCATATTCACACGTATATATCTGAGCATCATTTCCCACACAGAACAAAGTTAGACTTATACAGCGTAAGTAAATAATTTGTAGAGTTTTTAGCTTTGGCCTAAGACTCATAGCAATCATTTATAACAACTGATCAGGCTAATAATGCAATGCCCACATGACTCATGTACTCAGAGTTGTCTGGACAGGTGGGGATTTGGGTCATTTACAGATTAAGTATTATCACTTGAAATAATAATGAAATTGCATTTAATTTATGGTAACCTGATGGCATATTTTGCCCATGCAGTATTCATTACTGCATTAAAAACATAGTAAATAATATATTTAAAATTGTAATACAAAAATAAAAAATAATGCACATTTTTTGTAAAATGACTGAGAATGTTGTACATATCAGAAGTCATTCCTCTAACTGGGATTTGCATGTTCTGTATATTCAGGCACAGCTAAAACAGTGGATTCATGGAAATGTATCAAGTTTTCCCCGCTCCATGTTCATATTTGATGAAATGGACAAGATGCAACCACAGCTGATCGATGTCATAAAACCTTTTCTAGACTACAATGCCCGTGTCGATAGAGTGTCATTCCACAATGCAATCTTCATTTTTCTTAGGTAAAGCCCTCAAAAACTCAAGGGTTTGTTTTTTGGATTTCTGAAAATGCAGTTGTATTCAACATATTAGCTCTATAAAATTAAAACACAGTGGTAATTAAATGCCTCTACTGTCCCTATAACGAGTGACACAACTAATTATAAGCTGTTTATCTGTTTGTTTATAGTAATGCAGGTGGGAATGTGATTGCTGAAGTGGCTCTGGATTACTGGAGAGAAGGCAAAAATCGGGAAGAGCTTTGGATGAACAGCAAGGAAATGGAGACTAAGATCCTTCAAAACATCTTCAACGATAAGAACAGTGTGTATTGAAAGACTATATATATACAGTGGGTACGGAAAGTATTCAGACCCCCTTAAAAGTTGGTGCTGTACGTTGATTAGCAGCATATTGCCTATTCTGTTTTGACTGTTCTGTAGTCCTATTAATATTTCAATCTTAATGAGTTACATTGCTATCTGAAGTCTGAATACCTCTGTATTAAACATTTGAAACAATTTGTCCAGTCTGTTTAAATTTAGTCCCACATCCTTTAGTCCTACCAGATTTTTGAAGTAGCCTACCCTTGGAGGCATTTTATACATCACTATACCATGGTGGAAGTGTTTTTGCAAGGCATGGTAGCCTAATGCCATATTTGTTATAATACTATGTTTGTTACTGCAATAAACACCATGGAATATAGACCGCGCACTTATCTCTCTCTCTCTCTCTCTCTGTGTGTGTGTGTGAGAGAGAGAATGTTTATGCCGCTTTGAATCTTTGCTAATATTAATGCGCATGTCTCATGGTTTATGAACGCGTCACTCAGATGAATGGATGAACTTCTTTCACCATTAGTAACGGTATATTCATATTCCATTCATGTTGTAATGGTTTCCTCTCGTTTTGATGTCATATTTCAGATTAAGCTGTGTTATTTGGAGTGATCTTTGTTTAATTATTATTTGGATTTTTTGTTATTTAAAGGGTTACATTTTGGCTCCATTTGTATTTATATTTAATTAGAAATTATTTCATTTGAGATAATACATTCAGGGTCATTTTTGTTCATTAAGTAATAACACTTTAGTAATAAAGCACTATTTTACATTGAATTTTTACATTCAATATACATTCAGTATCCACGTTTTTATGGATGATAAAATGGCCAAATTGTTTATTGGCCTGTTTTACCATTTAAGTTATCAAAATTGGCAAAATCCACTATTGGTGGACCTCTAGTGTGTAAGCCAATGAAACTTTTCTGTGTATTATTGAGCAGGTGGTGATTCTGGAGAGGCGTAACGGAGCTGGTAAAATTCTGTATAAGCCAGTTTTGGGAGGATGGAACGGCAGTAAGGAAGACAAACACAAGCTTCTGGAGGAACTCGAAAGACTGCAGAAGGATCCCTCCATCCTCAGTAATCATGCCGTTCTCCCAGAGCTCAACATTGAGTTCACCTCAGTGAGTCTCTCAGGGTTTGCTTTTCATGGAGCGTCTTTGATTGGGAAATTAGCAGTGACCTCTATGTATGTTTCAGTAGAGATCTAGATTATGTCCAAATTAACTGGAACTTAATTTTGTACATCCGTTTGTTTTCAGGTGTTTTTAATAAGATGGATTTACACGGCATATGACTACTTGTCTGAAATTATCGATGATCTTCTTCACAATAACTGGTAGGCAAATAAAATGCCAATTGACCCTAAGCTCTGCCCTTCTTTTTTACTGTAATAAGCTTTATGAAATATTTGCTAGTACCGAAAGGTGGGATTGGTCAGCAATATTTTTGATATATAATGCTCAATTAAGTTATTTTCATTCATTTTGCAGGCGTGAGATGATGCCCCTACTGTCTTTGATATTCTCTGCACTTTTTATTTTATTTGGCACTGTAGTTATTCAGGCTTTCAGGTAAGATTTATTGCATTCATAATTCTGATGTGTTAGACGGGAAATGCAGAGACATTGAACGTTGCTGTTTCTAATTTCAGTGACTCAAGTGAGGATAAACAGCCCAAAACTAAAGCAAAAGAGGCATCCAAGGCAGAGAACGGTTCGCCAAACACCTCCAGCACATCCAGGTTCTTTCATATATTATGTTTGGATAAATCCAATAAATAAATTCCATCTATTTTAATGATGCACAATATATCAGTACCAATACATTTATTGGATATTAGTGAGTTTTAAACAATACTGGATATTTATTTATGCTGGCTCATTTCCCTTCTTTTTAAGATGAGATTATTTATAAATCAATAATAATATTATTCAATTTGGAATTTGAATAATATCAGTAATTTGTTATCAGCTATAAAAATAGCATGAAATTATATAAAATAATAGCATAAAATAATTATTTTATATTGATGCATCCCTAATTTATTATACTATTATATGGTCTTTTTCTTCCAGCAGTCGCCCACCAAAGAAAAACTTTGTGGAGGTGACAGAGTTAACCGACATTACATACACTAGTAACCTGGTGAAGCTGAGGCCGGGTCATATTAATGTAGTTCTGGTACTTACTGATTCCACAAAGAACATCCTGCTCAGCAAGTTTGCCAAGGAAGTTTATTCGTTCACTGGGTGAGCCCTCATTGCATGGTGCACCTTGCAGTCACAATGTTTAAAAAAAGATATATACTATGTTTCCTCTTCCTCGTAGGAGTTTGATGCTACACTTCTCTTTCCTAAATGTGGATAAACACAGCGGATGGATGGCGGCCGTGTTGGAATACGCCCAGGATGCCATGCAAATCGACACAGATGAGGACGAAGTGGGCAGCCGCAAAGTAGACTACACAGGCTATGTTCTAGCCCTCAATGGCCATAAGAAATACCTGTGTCTTTTCAAGCCAGTCTACACAGGTGAAGACTTGGATAGCAAGCCGGAATAGGAAAGAGGAGGATCCCGTTCCAGGAAGGGCATGACACACTCTCGAGCCACAACTCTTCATATCCACCACAAACTGGATCGACTCGGACTCTGGATGGAGCGACTGATGGAAGGGACGCTGCCCCGGTACTACGTCCCAGCCTGGCCCGGTCTGGACAAGATAACTGTCAATAAATAAAGCCTCATGGAAGCTAGCTTGCTTTTGCTAGAGCTAATAACCCAGCTGGATTAGAAGCACCCGATGGCCTCAGTGAAACCAGGCTTGAAGCTGCTCAGAGCCAGATGCTCTATGTAAGACTTTGCAGAAGTGACTTTAGCTTAGCATTGTTGGGGAAAGGAAAATGTTTGGAGTACTTGAATCGACACTAATGTTGACCTCTTGGAAATCTTTACTTTAGCTGCTCTAATGGAGGGCTTTACAGTCAGTTTGGATATTTGGTATTTATTTCAAAAGGCTGTTGGTTGAGAGGCCAAATATCGATGCAGCTAGCCTAGCTTTCGATTTTAAACATTTCCGTTCCACGAATAACATTGCAACATGCTGCTAGTTGAAAAACAGCTAACATAATGTAGCATAACAAACATGATCACTGTAGACTTTTAGTCCTAACTGTTTACTCAAGACAATGCTGTGAATTTTTATAGACACTTTTATCATTTTAATTTAACACCCTTGATCTACAAAGTGCAATATTTAACTTTTGGCTAACAATTACAATAAGGGTCTATGTGTTAACTTCAGTTAATGCAGTGAATTAAATGAAATAACAATGCACAATGCTTTCGCAGCATTGATTAATTATGTATAACTTACATTTCTACAGTACATATACTAAAACATTTTTATCATTTCAAAATTATGGTTTATAAAATGGATTGTTCCGGTCCTTGATTTTGATTGGTTGAGCCACGTTCAAAGCTGTTGTAAATTACTCTACAAACATACACCTTTGTTTTGCAACCACAACTGATTCCTGTGCAATTATTTGAGACGTTCCACAAACGCAATCAATAATATTTGACATTTGGAAGGACACACATCATCTCAAAAAGGAGGTTAGCCCCAGTCAAAGCAGTGTTTCCTGTGAAAAATATAATGTAAATAGTAAAAATAAAATATAAATAATATAAATAAAAAAAATTATATATAATACGGTACCTGTGGTGTCATAAGGTGGAGAAACCTATTATCAATGCTGGAAACTACTGTCCTCCTTAATATTTTTTTGGAAACTGCGATACTTTTTTCAGGATTCTTTGATGAATAAAAAGTTAAAAAGAAGAGCATTTATTTCAAATAGAAATCTTTTCTAACAATATACACTACCGTGCAAAAGTTTAGGGTCAGTAAATTTTTATTTTCTTTTTTTGAAAGAAAAGGATGTTAAATTGATAAGAAGTGTTGGCAAAGATTTATATTGTTAGAAAAGACTTATATTTTGAATAAATGCTGTTCTTTTTAACTTTTTATTCATCAAAGAATCCTGAAAAAAGTATCGCTGTTTCCAAAAAAATATTTGGCAGCACAACTGATGCCAACTTTGATAATTCTAATAATAAATCAGCGTATTAGAATGATTTCTTAAAGGGGTCCTATTATGCTTGTAATTTTTACAAAGTCTTGTTTTTGTTATTGGGGGTGTACTAGAACAGGCTCTCATACTAGGTTGTTCAAAAAACACATTATTTTTCACAGCCTGCCAGCTTCAGTTTAAATATTACATCAAAATCAAATCAATTTGAGTTCGTCTGCCTTGGGAAAGCTAGTGTGTCTCTGACATAGTGATAAGACTCGTTGCCTTCTCTAGTGCAGCTCAACCAGGTCTCGTCCTATTCGTCGATATTTGTGATATCACAAATCCCGGAAAATATGCGTTGATATCACAATGATAATATACTGCAGTGTAAATATTAACATGTAATTTATCGCCAAACTGTTTTATTGCCACATGCAAATCAACACATTATTTCAATACTATTCAAATTCTTTATTGTTTTTGCCATTTATCTCCTTTCCAGGCTATGTACCATGAAGTCAACGTGCATTCAAAATTCACCCTGTTTAATTTTAATGCACATGCACAATATTATACAATTCATCTAAACAAGTTATTCCAAAGATTGTAATAGCAAATTCATCCAAATATAATCACTTGCTCAATCTCTCAAGTGACATCACAAATCCCAATTGCTTTTTCAACCCCTCCCTCCAACCAACTCTGCTCCAGTAACACATTTCATGATGCAATCAGTTACCAAAAGTTCAAATCAAATTTGTATTGAATATCCTGTCAGAAAAACACCAACTGTATAATTTATTCTGCATTCATTTGCCTACTTTTTTAAGCGATATACTGTGAATATTAATACATTACATTATGCATGAATTTGTACCTGGTTTAAGCTGTTATTCTAAAGAGTCATCAACAGCATAAAGTTATATATATATATATATATATATAGTGAAAAGTGCAAATGCATAAACTGCCATCATTTCAAAATATGTCAGTGATGGACATTAAAATGAAAGTGCTTCCACAATCTACAAAAAATGAAAGCTGTGCTTGTTTCTCTGGTAAACACTCACTCACACACAGTGTAGTGCGCTAGCAGGGATTTCCACTGCTCTTGTCCGTACATGAGGAAGCTGACTGCGGCGCGGAGGTCCTCCAGGTCTATGTTGGCGAGGAAGCATCTCTGGAGTTCGGCTTCCACGGAGCTCCCGCTGGACCCTCGACCCTTCAGCAGCACCACAGCAGACTGACACAGCAGCCAGTCCTTCAGCTCATCGGTTCTGACCCGATCCAAGCTGGCCAACACACGCTTGCCCCACAGGCTGATGTGAAGCATGTTAGCGGCCACACGTGCACTGGGGCGCTGCAAACCATCAGGGACATTATGAAATAAATCAGTCAATGAACTGCTTTATCTTCCCAGTTTTAATATTCAAGCGTTGTTGAGTTTCTCTATGGGTAAACCAGAGCCTGACAGATTTTACAGCATCATTTTTATGATTGATACAGATCATTTTTATGTTGTGTCCAATAACTGATATGCAGAAATTATTTTTAATTATGGTTTTATTTTTGCTTAAAAAAGATGATAGTAATATTACAACAATAAAGCATGCATTATTACTACTATAATTATTATAGTAATAATAATGATGATGATTATTATTATTATTAAAATAATGATCTGAATGAAGATGAAATCTGTCAAAATGTATTGCTTAAAAATAATATTTAGGACCATTAAGTGTTCCTGAAATGTGACTACTTAAAATATAATTTTACAAGTTGTATTTTTTATGACCCAAATATACATGAAAGCATCACATAATCACAAAAAATATTTATTTTTTCACACACTCACTCTCACGCACACACACGCACACGCACACACACGCACACGCACACACAC